AAGGAATTTTTTTTGTTAAGGCCCAAAAGGTGGTTTCATAGATAAAATTTTAAGATACGGTTAATTTTTTAAAAATTTTTTGTTTTTGTTACACAAAATTGATTTACACATTACACCTGATCTTGCAAATTAATTGGTTAATTATATACTGGTGATGATCACCAGTGGCGATAAATAGCAAACTTCTTTATAATAAACTTTTGAGTTATTGTTTTTTTTTTAATTTTTTCGTTTTGTTTTGGTTATGCAAGATCCAGCGATCTGATTGGTTTTATATATAATTGTGATATCACTCCAGGATAGAGTTTAGAGTATGGAAAAAAAATTAGTTATAATCTAAAATAAATATAAAAAAAACTTAAAAACTAAATAAATTTAAAACTATACTCCGGAGCATTGCCCGGGCCTAAAAGCTAGTATTTTAGTTATACGTTACTACGAAATCAATTTTTTATTTATCAAGACCGGCCAATTAGCATGTGATATTGTGCAACCGAAATCTCTAGAAATATCTGATCGACATTTTCATACCATAAAAGGTGTGATCGACACTACTCATATTTGGTAAATCGTCAGACTGCACTAACACACTTTATTTTTACAAAAAAAAGGCAGCACAAAAAAGAGCTTTATCCATGATTAATAAGGACTTACCGTCCGAGCGCCATCGAACGTTATGCACTTCAAAATTTGCTGTTTTTAAAATAAAATGTACATAAATTAATTAAATATTAAGCGTAAGATAAAATTAATAAGTATAGGATTAAATTATTACCAACAGGAACTTGAATAATTTCTGTACCAAGTTCTTGACCACACCAAAAATACACATATTCATTTCCGCAGCAAATCACGAGTTGATCTGGCCCAATTGGATTCCAATAAAAGTGTTTTATTGGGCTCGATTGAATAATTAAAGCGACAGGCATTAGTTGTGGAATATTCCATATCCAGAGACAATTTGGCATGTTATCTGCAAAAAATAAAAAAGTGAGACAAACAAAAAATAATGATTTCAAATATCATTATCAAAAGTTTTACCGTTTCGGGCAGCTATAAAGTGACCATTAGAGTTAAATTTACAATATCCTACGCCTAACTTAGGATTTGGTTTCGCTTCAATTAGAATTGAGGGAACCTCTAAAGGCCCATCGACAAGGTCGTCTATTAAGTTTTTTAATCAGATTAGAATAATTTGTGAAGAATGAATGCAATCGGAAATAAGAAGATACATACATTTTGCCATATTTCGACCATATTCTTTATTGAATTCATTCTCTTCTTTCCATATTTTCTAATAACATAATTTGACGCATTTTTTAATTTTAAATTACATGTTAAAATTCAGGTTATTTTTAATTCATACCAATTTATTAGGGTTTTTAATTCGATTTGCATGTATGAATTCTATTATTGGTGACCAGGTGTAGCTGTTGAAGAGACGGATCTATATGGTAAATGCAGTTAGATTAATTCATTTAAATAAATTAAAATAAATTACTTTTGATAACACCTTTTGATCGTAACTCCCAACTGCTACCAATTTACTCGAAGGAGACCATGCAACAGATTTAACACCTAGCCCTTCGTCATCTATAGAAAAGCTTCCTAAACATTGGCCATCCAATGTATAAATCAAAAATTTGTACTAACATACCAAAGTATTAATAAGCATATGCACATAATGTTAATTATTTATTAGTATTTTATTAAGATAAAAAACTTACCCAAATGCAGTTGTCCCACGCTACAATATAATGACCATTTGGTGATAACGCTATGTTGTCTAAGTCTACGGTATCAACTTGGAACACCTAATGGTTGATGATAATTTGTAAATAAAATTATCACAATAATACTATTCAAAAAAATTTTTGGAAATATGTATATAATTTCTTACATTTAACAATTTCCAATCGTCAGTATCACATTTATATACACCTATAAAATCTTTACATTCACGACGTTCCGCCAAAATGAACCATGGAGGGTCCTCACGAAAACAAAACCCTTAAGGAATATTAATTATTTGGCCTAATAATTCGTCACAATGACTCAAAATTTACCTTTATTGTGATATTTTGGATCTTGTATATAGTATCCATTGTTGGTTATTAATGACCATATTGTTATACGAAGCTTTGAAAAAAATGAGTAAAAGAAAAGGTGTTATATACATTGTTTTTTTTCTCAATAAATTTATAAATGTTACAAACTTACCTCAAAATCTGAGAAACACATAATGCTTTTACCATCGAGATTCCACTTTACATTAAGTAATCCAGCAGGACCTTCCTTTATTGTTTTTTTCCATGTAGGATCGTTTATATCATGAACAATAATGTCACCTTTTTTAAGATTCGCAGCGAAAATCAGAGAGGAATTTGGCGACCATTCTATACATTGTATGAGGGTAGAATGTTTGAATTCACGCGACACCTGAAGGGTTTCCGCATTGCGGATTACAATTATATTCTCAATGGCTGCTGCGATGTATTTTAAATCAGGAGAAAACCGGCAAAGGTTTAAGGATTGATTGTATGGCTCAGTGAAATTCATTTTCGAGGAACGTTTTTTTTAAAAGGTTAAGCAGTTTATAGATATATATTTACGCGTCTAATCAATGATAGAAAACATTATTTGATTTGCTAAATTAATGGTGATCAAAACGTGGCTACTGACCAATCAAACTGGTCTCGTATCATTCCCTAACGAATCGAAAAATGAATAGACTTACTCGAAAGTAAATTTCAAATACTAATATAATAGCTAATTATTGCAAACCCGCCTATGAAGATAAAATCCCATGTACAATCACTATCGATATAACGAAAATTAGTAAAATTATTATGTATAGTAAATATTGCAGTTTAAACAATTTTTCATTATAACTTGGCCGGGTCAAAATTTGAAAACTTGTAAAAATTTTATAAACCTTTTATATATGAAATTTTTAAAAAAAAACCGGCCGGCCGGGTCTGTTTAAAAGCTCCATATTATGAAAACCAAGACATTAAATTTGTGTGGCCTTAGGCTATACAAAATTTATTTATTGGTATTCATAATATTTAAAATTTTTTCTAACCCGCCTGTTCAAATTTCTTTTTTATTTACCAAAAAATTTTATATATATAATAAAAGAGATTTATTTTATAAGCTATAACAAGCACGAGAATACATTGCAGGATACCACACCGAAAATCTGGTGGGACCGCAAGAGAAATTTCGAACTTGGATCTCTACTCAAGGATGGATATTTTATATATCCTAATATAGACATAAATAACTAGTGTAGAGTTTAGACTAGTTTATTTAGTAGTACTATATAA